TCGATTCGATTCGATTTGAAAAAATCAAATCAAATTCAAATTGCTTAAATATTTGATTCGATTCGATTTTGAGGAACTCTAACCATTATATTTTTATATTCTATTGGAGTTTCTAATACAATTGGTGGTCTCATTCCTTTTATTAGATTCATTGCAAGATTATAATCATGATCAAAATGAGCAAAAGGCGGTCTTCCAGATGATACCTCTCACATTAGCATACCAATACTATAAATATCTGACGCAAAAGTATATTCTTTTCCAACTATAACTTCTGGTATACATAAGGAAGATTTCCATATATACTTCCTAATGGTTTATCAACAGGGCCACAAAATTCAAAATCACCAATATACCAATAATTAGTATAGTTAAAATATAATATATTTCCTGAATGCAAATCTCTATGAATGGAATTTTCCTGATGGAGGGCATAAATTGCTAATATTATATCTACAATTATATTTGTTCTTTGTTTCCAAGTAAGTTGATTATGATTTTGTTATAAAAATTTTCTTAAATCTATATCAAATAAAACCATTACAAGAAAATAATCTTTATTTTGTGGATCTTGGGTAAGACCAAAAGTTTTAATGAAATTTTCCCATCTACTACTTAATATTAATTGAGATTCAGCCTATGAATAAGAACACAATTATCATTTTCATTCTATTTTTTTTATATAAAAAATGTTAATTATTAATACATTAAAATTATATACCTCTTCAAACCAACTTCTATTAGCACTTTTGACATTTTTTAATCTTTTAAGTATTACTTTTTTGCTTTCAAATCTTATTAATCATTTTCTGATAGAATCCCATTTACAATAATGTCCATCAATCCAATCTGCTGTATAAATCTCAGAATACTCACCTTTAGTTAGATACTTGATATTTTATAAATCTTTATATGATATCCACTCAATTATTCTAAATGCTTGAATTGCTTCCAACTGACATTTCTTTATTAAATTATCTATTTCATTATTTCCAGATGTCCATTCTGAAAATTTTTCTTTTAAATAATTTTGTATACATTTCTCGTAATATGGTGTTGCTAAACATTCATTTTTGCAATCTTCACAAATTCTATTCATTCCTTGTTTTGAAATTACTTTGTTAGAGTTATAAGCTTCAATTAATAATCGTATTACCTCTGATTTTTCCTCATTTATGAGAGATTTATCAGCATAAATTGCTTGGTGTCTAAATTCATTCTGTTTATCGGTGTCTGTTTTATAATCAGATAATGCAAACACTCTATAATATGCTTCTATAACTAATTCTCTATGAATGGAGGCTATAATGCAATTAAATTATTCAAAAAAAAAGTTTAACAATTAAAATTATTCAAAAAAAAAGTTTAAAGGGATTAAAATTATTAAAAAAAGAAATTTAACAGGATTAAAACTCTGTGTTTTTATTCAATAGAGTATGATCGACAATTCTAGAAAGAAAAGATCATATGATTTTGCTCTTTATGTATCTACATTCGCAAATAACGTTGAAATAAATAAACTAATAAATCAACTCTCATGAAAAATGACACTTTATGTATGTATTACACGTCTGGATTTTTTATATACATTATTTTTAGGATTAATAATTATCTTTTTTTTATTTTAAAAAAAACAGAGATTATTTAAAATGAAAAAAATAATTTCAATTTATAAATATAAAAAAAATTCTGATGATCATCAAATAAAGCGTTTTTCGATTTATTATAATTATCCATTTATATTAAAGAACCTTTCATATTATAATGAAATGTCCACTAGAGACCCTCACTTATACCGGAGGATTCTTGAACAAGATCTAGGTCATTTATTGAAATCGTGCGTTTAATAATTGGCGTAAGATTGGAGTTTATTAAGTTAGAAGGTGATACAATAAAACTTTTAAACAGTGTTAACGAGAGCTTATATTGCAAAAAATAGAATATCAAGCAAATAATTCTATATAAAAACGTTTTAATGAGTATATACGATTTTTTAAAAAGAATCTAGGTTAGTGGCATACAACATTCAATTACTCTTTCATATTTATATATGAGATCTTTGCGATAAAAAGTGGATCACTACCAGAAAAATAAATTATAAGCTAATAAATATAAACATATTTTGGCCTAAAAATCATATTTGGCATATAAATAATTATTTTCAGATATCATTAATCAAATTTTTTTAGCTTTAATATTTTAACTCCTAAAGTTTAAATTTGTATTCATATGGGAGCTTTGTTATTAAAAATGGATTCCAGGGATTTTTAACAAAAAATGAGATTTTTGATTCATATTATAGTATACTAAATGAACTTTATTTGGTTAAATTTTTAGAGTCT